AGAGATAGGGACTGATAGTGTTAAAAAACCGAAGAGATAAGGGCTGATAGTGTTAAAAAAACGGAGAGATAAGGGCTGATAGTGTTAAAAAACCGGAGAGATAGGGACTGATAGTGTTAAAAAAACGGAGAGATAAGGGCTGATAGTGTTAAAAAACCGGAGAGATAGGGACTGATAGTGTTAAAAAACCGGAGAGATAGGGACTGATAGTGTTAAAAAAACGGAGAGATAAGAGCTGATAGTTTAAAAAAACCGGAGAGATAAGAGCTGATAGTGTTAAAAAACCGGAGAGATAAGGGCTGATAGTGTTAAAAAACCGGAGAGATAAGGGCTGATAGTGGCAAAAGATGGTAAGGTAAGGATGAAGGCAAGGGATGATAATGATAAGGGATAGCAATATCACGAAGAAGATAAGGGGTGATAAAGATAAAAAAAAAAATCGAAGAGATTTAGCGTTTTACTAATTGGTTATCAGACTCTCATCATTGTATTATCATACAGACAGTGATTGGTTGTAATGATGAGTTAGATGAGGACGATAATAGACGATAATGATAAAAGTTGGTAGTGCGATGAAAGAGATAAAGGGTGATAATGATAAAAAAAAAACAATCACAGAGGCTTGGAAATTCTAGGAGTTGTCTGTAAGGATGAGTAGGATGAGGAACGTAAGGGATAAAAGCGGGAAAAGATGATAATGTGAGAATAAGGATAATGGATAATTATAAGAAAGAGTGAAATGTTATGAGGAAAATTACGGATAATAATGGTAAATGATAGTGATGTAAAGACGTAGATAATGGACGATGATTATGATAAAGGATAATTATAGTAATGATAGAAGGATAACTGATAATAAAGATAAAAGATAATAACGTGTTAAAAATTATAATGGATGACAGTGATAAAAATAGCAGTAAGGTGACTTTAAAGATAAGCGAGGAAAATTATAACAATGGTAGTAGGATAACAGTTTAATGCAGTAATGATAACAATAACATCATCGCTGACTGAAATACCCTGAATAGACCAGATCACCCAGCTGATTTTTGCGCTTATATGAATGTTGATAATTACGTATGCACAGAGTATTTACCTGGCTTTGCCCTGCCCCTTTCAGCCAACGGCCCGAGGCGACACACCACCGACTCCGAACCTGACAACCAGACTTTCAATAATCCTGCTCCTACTATGTAAGTTTCGTTGACTCATGCAGGCTCATGTTGCATGCGTGATTGCATTGATTTTTACCCTGTTAGCAGTCCGACATTCGTGATGCTGATTATCAGGAATGGAGATGATAATGATAATGTTAATTGTTCATTGCCCTAAAGAATGATTATTGTTGATCTTATATCTTATCATTTACGGATGCGGACTTGCTGACAGGAATAGATATTTATTCATTTAATCGTAAATGTGTTTCTTATTTTAGTTTTGCTATATATACATGATGAATGTAGTTTTCTTTTAGCTACTTTTAAACTTCCTTTAAAATTCCTGTGCATATTTCTTTTTTTATTTAACGATCATCATAGTTCATTATAGTAAAAAAAAACTTTATAATTACCTCTAGTAATAGCATGAAAAGCTTAAATTTCTTTTTAGTTTTGCTTTTATCTCTACGTACAATCTTAATTTTCTTAAAAAGCCTGCCTAAGATGCAAGGCTGCATTATTTTTTTGTCGTTGTGCTTTGTTGACGTGTTGCATGCTCGCCGCAGTGACGAGAAAGCCGTGACGCAGATGCTCGAGGACGTCAACCTCGACGAAGTTTTTGCCGACAAAGAAACGAGGATGAAGTTCCTTACCAAGGCCGTGAGCGACCTCTCCGAAAGACTCGCGATCAATCACAAGCTTCAGTGCCAGAACGAGGGCCAGCAGAGGCAGTGAGGAGGAGGAGGAGGGAGAGGAAGAGGAAGAGGAGGAGGAGGTGGGAGAGGAAGAGGAGGAGAAGGAGGAGGAGGCAAGGGAAAGGGAAAAGGACAAAGGAGGGAAGGAGAAAAACAGGAGGAGGAGGAGGGAGAGGAAGAGAAGAGAAGAAGGAGGCTAGGGAATGGAGAGAGGAAAAAGGGTAAAGGGAAAGGGAGGAAGTAGAGGTAGCAACAAAGGTGATGGAAAGAGCAAAGAAGAGGGTGAGCGAATGTGAGAGAGGAAAGAGAAGATATATATATATATATATATATATATATATATATATATATATATATATATATATATATATATATATATTTATATATATATATATATATATATAAAGAGAGAGAGAGAGAGTTGAGAAGAGAAGAAAAGAGAAATAGCTAGATAAAGATAGAAAAAAGCAAAGCATTAAGACCATAGCACTTGTTATTCTGAGCAAGTTGGTTCATACAGAGAAACAAAGGCGTCGCAAAGATCCTTCTGTATTGAATTCCAGTACATATATTTGCATTTAATTTTGCATAAATCAAAGCTGTGTCCCTACGGCTTACTTTGCAACGATTTATATATATCATTGCATC